CCGCTATTTCATGTATTTACACCTATGTTTATTCTTATTTCTATTATATTGTGAGCGTTTGACAAATAAAATAAATAAAATAAAAAAGATAAAATAAAATAAATGAACTGTGGTAAGTCGAGGGCTGCCTGTATATATACTGACCCTCAGATGTGGCTCTCACTTTCTGCTCCAAATGGCTGACTGGCTTAAATAGTTCCCTCTAGAAGTTGTGAAAGCTCCAACCCTGGAAGTTTTTAAGCAGAGGTCTGGAATGATATAGGGTTTCTTGCCTGATTCGGGGCTGGACTAGAAGACCTCCAAGGTCCCTTCCAGCTCTGCTATCCTATCCTATCCTATCCTATCCTATCCTATCCTATTTTCTATTCTTATTCTATTCTTATTCTCTGTTCTATTCTATTCCTTATTCTATTTTATTCTATCTCCTATTCTATTCTACTCTATTCCTATTCCATTCCATATTTTCTCCTTCCTCCTAATGTTCATGTAATTCTAATCTATTCTTATTCCTATTCCATTCCATTCCATATTTTCTCTTCTCTTCCCTTCTCTTCCCTTCCCTTCCCTTCCCTTCCCCCCTCTCCCTGCTCCAGTCTTCTCTTCTCTTCTCTTCTCTTCTCTTCTCTTCTCTTCTCTTCTCTTCCTTCCAATTCCAATTCTCTATTCCTATTCCACTTCATGCACATGGTGTGCTCCAGGATAGTTTACATATACAGCAGCCAAGCTATCAAAGGTTTCCTTTGAACCAGCAAGGTAGTTTCCCCCACTGCAAATCAGTCCTTGGTCAAAGTAAACAGGATTATCAGAGAGAAAGTTTTCTAACAGAGACTTTCTCCTTGGACACTAGCTTTTTCTCTCTAGCTGGGTAACTGTGAGGGAGTGGGGAAAGAAATTGAACTTTTCTTCCCCGGCTCTAGACAGATTTTACGAAATGTTTGCAGTTAATCGGCTTTGGGTTCAGTTTATGGTTTCTTTCGCATCAGTTGTTAAATGAATCGAAGGTGGCTAGATTCACACAACCTGGAAGCAATGAATGGCTTCCTACTGAACCTGGAGTTCATATATCCTGCTAAGCCACGATTAAACAAAGCCCATTGTGTCTTAGCAGAAAGCGTGAAGTTGATCTCCATTTATCACACAACAGACAACAATGGCAAAATCTAAACTGGTGTTTCTCAAACTCAGAAACTTTAAGATCAATTTTTTTAAAAAAATATTTTATTTTTTAAAAACAAAAATACAAATCTCTATTCACATTAACAGTGTTCATGTCGTTATTAATACATACCTCTCCTTTTATACGTAAACATCAACTCTTATTTCTATCCTCCACCCATTTCTACCACCTATCCCAATAGTCCGAATCATCTTTGCCTCTTAATTCCACTGTGAATTTTTCCAGTTCCGCACAATCCATTATTTTTTGTGTCAAGTCTTCTTCAGATGGTATCTTTTCCTTCTTCCATCCATGTGCAAAGGCTATTCTCGCCATAGTTATGATATGTATAATGATGTATCGGATGACCTTGCTCAGTTTTCCCTTAATTATTCCTAATAGGAATATTTCCGGTTTGAGTTCTAATTTGTGATCTGTAATTTCTAATAACCATCTTTGTACCCTCATCCAATATTTTTTAACCTCTGGACACTGCCACCACATATGGAAGAACATTCCTTCTTTGTGTTTACACTTCCAACATTCTGCTTTTGTGTTTGGATACATTTTGGCCAGTCTTGCTGGGGCTAAGTGCCACCTACAAAACATTTTATACTGCTTTTCTTTAAATGCTGTTGACAATGTCAATTTACAGTTATCAATCCACATTTTTTCCCAATCCTCTAAATTTATATCATGCCCTACATTTTTTTGCCCAGGCAATCATTGATTAAGATCAATTTTAAATGTAATTTAATTTCATTAAATTTAATCAATTAAATTTAAGGTCAATCAGGAGGCGGTGACTTCGATCCTATGTAGAGGCAGACTTTTCTCTCTCTGGGCAAACAATGAGACTATATCTGCTGAACAAAACTCCACTCTGGGGACAGCAAGGGCATCCGGTCAGGAAACACTCTCAGCCAGCTTCATTTACTTTGCCCAGACTCCACCCCGCAAGGGATTATGGGGGTTTTCCTGGCTGGGGAATTCTGGGAGTTGAAGTTTACACATCTTCAGGTTGCTGGGTTTGACAACCCCGGATCTGGATGGAAATTTCATGTGGATGAATGACTGATCTTGATTCCTCTGCCAATCCATTCCAGAGAAATTGAAATTAATGGATTGTACAGGTAGTCCTTGATTAACAACAGTTCATTTGGTAATTGTTCAAAGTTAGAATGGGACTGAAAAAAAGGGAAACTTAGAACCATTGTTCACACTTATGACCACTGCAGCAATCCCTGTTTGATGAAAATTCAAGCACTTGGGCAAGTGACTCATATTTACGACGGTTGCAATGTCCCAGGATCACGTGATCCCCTTTTGAGTCTTCCTGGCAAGCAAACTCAAGGGGAAAGCCAGTTTCACTGTATAACTGGGTCACTAATTTTATACACGCAGCAATTTGCTTAACAACTGTGGCAAAGAAAAGTCCTAAAATGGGACCAAACTCACTTCACGCACATTTCGCTTAGCAACAGACATGTTGGTCTCAATTTGGTCATCAGTCAAGGACTGTCTCTATTTATACTTGTCTTTCTTGCTATCTTGTGACTTGCTATCGTGGCCCAGAGAGGAAGTTCATTTTTAAAAAAATTGTACATAGTTGTCCCCAAGCACATTTGGCTGCTGCAAATAATAGAATAGAAAAGAATATAGAATAGAATATAGAGTAGAGTAGAGTAGAGTAGTTTAGAGTAGAGTATAGTATAGTATAGTATAGTAGAATAGAATAGAATAGAATAGAATAGAATAGAATAGAATATAGAGAAGAGAAGAGAAGAGAGAGTAGAGTAATAGAATAGAATATAGAGTAGAGTAGAGAATAGGATAGGATAGGACAATATAGAATAGAATATAGAGTAGAGTGTAGAGTAGAGTAAAGAATAGGATAGAATAGAACAGAACAGAATAAGAAAAGAACTAGAACAGAACAAGAATGGAATGGAATAAAATAAGAGAAGAGTGTACACTAATTGGCATACATTAAAAATTAAATTTTGTTGCATGCAGCTCTTAAAGGGTCACCACCCTTTTACACTACATAAACATGACAAGATAAATAAATACAAAATTATGTATATACCAACATATATTATGTGACACAGAGAAACAAGATTACAGGAAACAACACAGTCTAGTTATACATGTTCATGGAGAAAAAAACGAATCTGCGAGTTTGCCAGATGGATGGCATAGAGAATAAAGCTATTAGGGAAGCTGGTAGTCCTGCTAGAAATTATTTGAAACCTCCTCCCAGAGGGGAGCAACAGAAACAGACCATGAAGTGGGTGTTGTGGGGTCTCTAACAATGCTTCAGGCTCTAAGCACATAGCGCTTACAAGCAGCATCCTGAATAACGGGAAGCAAACTTCCTATAATCTTCTCCGCTGTCCTCACCACTCTCTGTGGGACTTTCTATCGATCCTAGGTAGAGGCAGGTATTTCTCTCTTTAGATACAATGAGAATATATCTGCTGAACAAAACTCCACATTGGCAACAGGAAGGGCATCTGGCCAGTAAACACTCAGCTCCATTCAGTTGCCCAGACTTCACCCCACAAGGGATTATGGGGTCATTGAAAGATGATCATGTCTTAGTAGAAAATGTGACACTGACCTCCATTTAGCACACAATGGACAACAATTGCTAAATCTAGATTGGTGTTTCTCAAACTTGGAAATATGAAGATGTGTGGATATCCTGAATAATGGGAAGCGAGCCTCCTGTAATCTTCTCTGCTGTCCTCACCACTCTCTGTAGGGACTTTCTATCTGAGGCGCTGCTGCCACCAAACCAAACAGGGATGCAGTTTGTTAAAACACTCTCCATCGTGTAAAAAGTGGCCAGGACAGAAAGGAGAAAGTTGTGTTCTGAT